AAACGCAATATATATATATTGCGTTTATATATATATATATATATAAATACATATATATGCTTAATAATAATAATAATCCTTAGAGAAATAGTCCTTAAGCAACTAGATCAAACGTCGTCGCACGACGTCACAAAGTAGAAGTAATTATACAAAGCATTGCGGCTATGTCTCACACCACCGTGGTGATGTGGATTACCTATCTCGATTTCGCAATATAATTGATCTCGTGCGACTATGTCTCGTACTACCAGATCCAGCGTAATCGAGTATACGTATTTTAAATAATCAAAAGCCACGTTTAAATACCAACTTTACAAAAACCAGTCTGTATTCACCCCACTTTACCTTATCTTATGTACTCTTTCTCCACGCATTCGACAAATAATTTTCCTGATTACTCTGATTTACAGTTCCAAAATGTCGGAGCCACTCGTCGTCGAATCGGTGCACATGTACGAAAAGGAGAATGCCAAACTTCATCACACGTTCAACTACGAATTAGTACATTTAGACCCACCGACAGCAGTTCTGAGAAGGGGCCAAACTTTTAATCTTGCTGTGAGATTCAATCGCCGGACCCTGTGACTAGTCGGACTGCTACTGCTCGCGAGGCTACTCGAACTCGAAATTTCTCCATTTAGTATGTTTGTTTCCTTGTTTTGTTTCACTATATCCCCTTTTACATATATTTCAGCTAAGAGTACTTATTTGCAGTAAAGAGTACTTGCCCCATTGAACATGAAATAAAGTTTCAAAGTTTATTTCTTCAAGTTACGCTCTTACCACATTTTCGGGGAAAGTGCAGAGTAGTTGACATTTTAAACAATTTCCTTTCAAAATCAAAATGTACAAGGAAAATTAAGGTCCTAGTTAATATTAATTAAATAGTAGTAATTGTGCAAAGCGTTCGGTATCGACAGCGTTAAGTATTTACAATACATAGCAGACTGAAAATACTTATGTTTAAATACCAACTTTACCAAAACCAGTCTGCACTTACCCCACTTCACCTTATCTTATGTACCTCTTCTCCACACATTTTACTAATTAATCTCGTTTATAGTTCCAAAATGTCGGAGCCACTCGTCGTCGAATCGGTGCACATGTACGAAAAGGAGAATGCCAAACTTCATCACACGTTCAACTACGAATTAGTACATTTAGACCCACCGACAGCAGTTCTGAGAAGGGGCCAAACTTTTAATCTTGCTGTGAGATTCAATCGAGAATACGTGGACGAGTCTGATATCGTCAGATTGCTGTTCAGTTTTGGACCAAATCCAAACGTTTTGAGGGGCACCAGAGGAGTGATCACCATAACCAACAAAAATAGTTACTTGACTGATTTGGAAACATGGAGTGTACGAATGATTGGTGTACATGGAACGGATTTGTCCGTGGAAGTGAGAAGTCCCATCGATAGTCCTGTTGGTTTGTGGCAGTTGAATGTGGAGACCACCACCTTGGGCAGCAAGGCGGCTCCGAATACCTTCAACTATGAAAAGGATATTTATCTGCTGTTTAATCCGTGGTTGAAAGGTTTGTATTTTTATAAAGAACTTTATTTCTAATTAGAAGAATTAAGGAATTCAGGAAGTAAAAGTGGATGTTTGTAAACGAGGTTTTTTTGATGTAAAGGAAATTTGAAGTTGATGATTTGGAATTCCAACGTGATAAACAGATTCCGTGTACAGTTCCTATGGAAATGAGGTTATATTTAATTACTGAGGTATAACGAAGATATACAATTTTTTAGCTAATTTCATTTTTTCGTTTAAGAGTTATCAAACATATGACAAATTATGTTATAGCGCTTTATATCTATGCAATGTATTACAACTATATTTTTCATAATGAGTGATAGTGTTAGAAAACAACTTTATTCTGAATTCCAATATTAATGTAAGATATTGTTATCAATGTAGGGAGTTTTGTTAAGAATTTTAGAATTTGAGGATTTGGAGATTTGAAAGATTGGGAATTTGGAAATTTAGGAATGTGCGAATTTAGGAATTTGGAAATTTGGGGATTTGGGGAATTAAAAATTTGAAAATTTAGGAATTTGAGGATTCAGGAATTTAGAAATTTGGAAATTTGGAGATTTCAGAATTTGAGAATTTGACCATTTGAGACTTTGACAATGTGGGATTTAGCAATTTTAGTATTTGGAAATTTGAGAATTTACAAATTTAGTAGTTGGAATCATAAAAACTTGGAAAAAATGGAACTTGAGAATTTTGAAGTGTGAAAATTTTGAAATCTGGAAAATTGTTAATTTGAAAAATGGGAAATTTGAATGGTTAGAGATTCGAAAATGTGGAAATATCCAAACTCAGTCATTTTGAAATTTTCAAATTTAATTTTTTCAAATAATGAAATTTGAAAATTTTATAATTTCAAGATTTGAACTTCTAGAAGATTAAAAATTGTGGCAATTAGGGATTTTTGAATTTGTTAACTTTTCATAAGCATTTCATAAGAAAGCTTGCAAGGTTTTGCGAATTCTTTTAATATATTTTAACATTACATTTTAATATCTTCTTACGCAAAACTAACAATAAGCTGAGCTTCAACTCGACAGTACAATTTTATCTCTAAAATTTTCTCATAAACCATTTTTTCTTATTTTGACAACATTTATTTCATCTAGTGATTTCAGCTAGAGATAAAAAGAATCTTATTCAGAGATTCAAATAGTATTATTTTATAATCCTACTAAATAATAGAATAATTAAGAACTATATGTATACTCCATCTTACAACAACCATTAAAATATAAAATATACACAATCCATACAATTTACAAATAATAAAAATAATTTGTAAAACACTCACAAATTCTATTTTAATAATTATGTAGTTATCCTATTAGTACATTATCGTTACCATTGTAATTGTTTTATTTTTAGAGGATGTAGTATTCATGGAAGAGGAACAACTTTTGGACGAATATGTCCTAAACGACGTTGGAAAGATATGGGTTGGCCCATGGGGAAGTTCTCGAGGCAGAGAATGGATTTTCGGTCAATTCGATGTATGTGTACTTCCTGCTTGTCAATTGTTGCTAGAAAGATCTGGCATTAAAGCAACTTCCAGAGGAGATCCTATTAGGATGTGCCGAGCTATTTCGAGAATCGTAAGACATTTTTATGCTTTTCTTTAGTATCTTTATTCTCATAATTTCTGAACCTATTCTCGGTTGCTTGTAATATTTTACAAATATTTCTTTTGCAAAGGAAAAACTACTTTGAATCTCTGGTTCTTCGCTATTTAATCTTCTATAAATAATTAATACAGAACTTACTGGTGTATAACGCACTTTTACTTTGAAAAATTCAAGTTCAGAAATAAACCGACAGTAAAACGTCAATTAATATTCACATTCATTCGTTATTTCATTAGTTTCTAAATTGGAGCAATTTTTATTTGTTCGAAAATTTGTTGCCCAGGATCCGCGATTATCTCATGAAAACTTTGACCCCCTGCGCAGTCCTAAACCGTAAGAGATAGACATGCGCAGTAAATTTTTACAAAGAAAGTAATCAAGGAAAAAGTAGTCGAAGCACCCACAATGATGACGTAATTATTTTTTATGTATCCCTTAAAAAGTATCCCTTAATAACGGTTTTACTGTACTATAATTGTAAGAGTACACATATAATATTTTTTTACCTTGTTTTCGAGCATGCGCGCAACGTCTCAGCGTAACTCACGGATATATTTCTGCGTCATAGTATGATAAAAGCACCTCATATTGCAATGGAAAAAATCTTCGTCAATCGATAATTGTAGGGATAATTCTTTCAGGTGAATTCGATCGACGACAGAGGTGTCATAACCGGACGTTGGTTCGGCGGATATTGGGACGGTACCGCACCATCCGCGTGGACCGGAAGCGTGCCAATTCTAGAACAATTCTTAGAAACCGGCGAGTCAGTGAAATACGGACAATGCTGGGTATTCGCCGGTACTGTGACCACCATATGTCGTGCTCTCGGAATACCATCGAGGGTGGTGTCAAATTTGGTATCAGCTCACGACGCGAACGCCTCGCTTTCCATCGATTGTTATTACGACAGAAACAACAAGGAGCTTGAAGAAGACCCTAAGAATCCTAACGGTAAAGACTCGATCTGGAATTATCATGTGTGGAACGATGTATGGATGGCCAGGCCAGATTTGCCGAAAGGATACGGAGGATGGCAGGCCATTGATGCTACTCCTCAGGAACCTTCCGAGGGTGTTTATCAGTGTGGACCAGCTTCCGTTGAAGCAATTAGACAGGGGGCTGTTGGTTATAATTATGACGTAACTTTCATGTTAGCTTCGGTGAATGCTGATATAATGAGATGGAAGGAAGATCCAGAAAGTGAATTGGGATATTCCAAAATCGATTGCAATAAATATCAGTAAGTATTTGAGATAATAGGGTGGCCTTTATGGGTGGATATAATGTTATTAAGGGGTATTATTTCAGTAAAAATTAATTTATAGTAAAATATTTCAAAATACTAGTAAAATATTTCAAAATGCAAGATCTGGATGAGAAAAGTACTTTACAACAAATAATAGTGATAATATATTTTTTTTAAGTTAAAATAGTTAATTAAAAATTATTTATTGTTTGAATACATGAAGAATGAATTCATTAAATAAATAATGATATATGAGGATTTAAAGAAGCTATAATGAAATTATGAGAAAATTTAATAGGTATAACAAAATATTAATGAAAGTAACAGGATTAGGATTAAATTTGTAGAGTTATGGTTGAAGATATAATTCTTCAAGAAAAATCTTTTTTTAGTGTTAAAATTGAAATTATTATTCTGCTAGTAAAATAAAATAGATAAAATAATATTATTTAAATTAAAGGTTGGTCCAATAATATCAATCAAAATTTTTAGCAGAATTTGTAAATCATAAAACTTCTATTGAGGATAATACATTGTATTAATACATCATTCATAACATAACTAAAAAAATTTGTATTTTATAAGAAAATTTAATAGTATGAAATTAGACCAAATACATTTAGTTAAAGTTTGAAAACGATAAGTAAATTTTTAAAATAATTATAGTAATTAGATGAAAAACAGAAAATTAAACTTGCTATTCTGTATATAACAAAATATTACTCTAGATTCATTATAAAAGATATTTATATTAATTATTCAACTTATGAAATGATATCCAATAAAAAATCCTAAAGAAGTTGTCGAAATAGATATTAATACAAAAAAATTTACATATAAAATACAGAATAATTGTAGTATTCACGATTAGATAATTTATTTTAATAAAAAAAAGTAGGATAAATTAATTATTTTTACATTCATGATTCTTGGATATTCGCTACTGAGTTCTGATGGTAATTCTGACCTTGGGAATTACTAAAGACGCTACCGTGTATTATCCAATTTGCATAAAACGAACATAATCAAAATATTTATGCAAAAACTGAAAGATTCCGCCATTTTAAATTACATGATTATCCACTTGTTGGAAACTTTTGATTTATGATTGGATTGTTATGTTACGAGCCGGAGGGGTCACAGCCGCGTGATTGGGGACTGTATTTTGGTAAAGGTAGTGTTATTAGGCTAACTCAGGTTTGTTACTTAACCTGAGCGCCAAAGGAAAATAGACGCAGGGATGAGCCGACGTATGGTTAACGCCGGGTGTCACAGGAAAGGTCAATACGCGGGGATGCACCGACGTATGGCTAACGCCGGGTGCCCCAAGAAAATGATGAATTATTGAAATGAATTAGCCGACGTATGGCTAACGCCGGGGGTCACAGGAAATGTTAATATTTGTACTCGTAACAAAAATATGGCAGTATACCTCGAGAGGCTAAGATATACCGACTGGTGGGTTTGTTAGGACTCTGCTTATAATTGACAAAATGTAAAATTGAGTTTAAAATAAGTGATTGAAAATATATTCTTCCCAAAACCGGTATTACAAATATTCCTGTGTATTTGTCGGTTAAGGTGATGTTACAAGAATTGATCTTGATTTGACTTTACATTAAGTTTGAGTAGTTTCGACTCTCATTAATGCTTGAAGGGGACTCTAACCCGATCTTGGTCGAATTGACTTCTCTTGATTCGACACGATGACTCTAGCGGTACTCGGACAGAGGTTCCACGTTAGACGACGTTCAGAAATCAAATGGGTCCACGGACAGAGGTTCCGTATTAGACGACGTTTGATAATCTATTGGGTCCGAGGCATTTTCTCCACAACCCCTTTTATACCCAAAAAATGGGTAAGAAACGAGTAGTGGTGAAGACGGTTGGAACGAATCAACGCGACGTTTTCGTCTAACGAATCTTCATCGCGTTGGTCCGAAGACGTTAGATGCTCTCGAGCGAAGTCTAATAAGGAAACCCTGGTAACTGGGAAAGCTAGGCAAGATTAAACTCTCGCTTCGCGGTGGTCTTCGGCTATTCTCGAATATTCATCTCCAAGGAATAAAAATCATCGGCATACGTAACAGTTAAATCATCGTCGGTGATAGACAGATCGAGTACTTGTCGAAGAGATCAATTAATACAATGTATTCGACGTTAAAGTGTTGGAGATACGGGGACATTTGAAATTTTTAAAATATTGAGATTTAGAAATTTTGTAATTTGATAATTTAATAATTTCGTGATGTGATTACTTGATCACTAATAATTGATTACCAAGAAGTGAGTACTAATAATTTGTATTGTAAAAATTTGGAAATTTAACAATTTTGGCATTTAGGAAATTGAGAATATAAACAAATTAGAAATTTACAAAATTTGGCAATATAGCAGTATTGGAATTTAGAAAATTAAAAGTGCAGATCAATTGCAAATTTAGAAACTTGAGAATTTAAAAATTTGAGATTTTAGAATTGAAGAACTTGGGAATTTATAAAACTGGAAATTTGTCAATTTGAACATTTTTTTAAAATGACGAAAGAGAGTCTAAATTTCAACACTTTTAAATTGAAAGTTATGAACATTTGAAAAATTATGAACTTAGAAATCGAAGAATATGAAAAGTTGGAAATTTAGAAATTTAGAAATTTAACAATATACAAATCTAGGAATTAAGAAATTTTCAAGATTGGAGACTAAAAATTTCCTAAAACGTTAAAAATTTAGAAATTAAAGTATTTGGAAATTGAAAAACTTACGAATTTTTAAATTTATAAATTTACAAACTTAGAAATATTTGGTTTACAATTTACAAACTTGTAACATTTTTAACATCCATACTTCCAAATATAGAAATTTGCAACTATAGAAATTTCATATTTTTAAATATTAAAAATTGTTCACATCTTCAAAGCCATATTTATCCATTACTGTGTCAACTAATAACATATTTAATTCGTTTGTAAATAGCATCGGTCGTATGGTTCTAACGAAAGCACCTTGGATTTACGATCCGAATGGCGACAGAGACAGAGAAAATATAACATCATTATATAAAGCGAAAGAAGGTAAATACGAATTGATTGAGTGTTTGTTCGAGCATGTAATATACTTGAACATGTAAAAAATTGTCGTCACATCTTAACCTCGTTCTTAACCACGTTTTTAATAATAATCTATCATACATGTTAATGTTACTAACTACTATGTTATGTTAGAATTAAAATTAGATTTGTAGGAATATAAAATGAATAATTGAAAGATTCCCTAAAACCGGAGAGTGTACTTGCCCGTTAAGGGCTAACTCTAATTTACAAAAGTCTTTTGGCCATCTGGAAATTTGAGAATTTTAAGATTTAAGATTTAGAAATTTGGAGATTTGAGAACTTGAAAATTTTAAAATTAAAAAATTGAGAAATTCTCAAATACATATTTGTCTACATCCAACGGAAGTCCGCGTTGTCCCATAAATATGTATACTATAGTAGACAATATATACATTTTCCGTTTCTCCTTCTTTATTTGTTAAAGTAAAATCAAGTTTCCCTTTTTACATTATTCACATAATATAGATACATAAAAATATAAGTTATCAAAATGTTTATCAATATTCTTAATCATATTTTGTATTTATTTATTTGCAGATACTAACTCATTAATATACTTTTCACGACAACGGTTCATGAAATTAACTAATTTTGAGTTGCTTATAAATTACAATAACTGAAATTTTCAAAATATTTCTCTCGTTGAAATAAAGATTACGTCATTTTAATATCATAACTACTAAAAATAAAAATGCAGCATTGATTCGAACTGAAAGGCGATCAGTGTCATCACTGATTGAAGACGATTATACTTATGTGAACCTTTAAACTCGAACTTCCAGAGATTGAACGTTTTGAACTTTGACGATGACACTTGAGCTTTTCAATAAATCGAATTTCATAATCTCTAACTCTCAAACTCTAAATAAAGTTGCCTTAAATTTACCAAATTACAGTTACTTTAAAACCAAAAAGTTATTTTTAATTTATCAAAATCTTATATTATATCATTTATTTTGAGGAAAAGTTTGTACAAGGTGAAGTGCGGTAAATGCAGACTGGTTTTTGTAAAGTTGGTATTTAAATGTAATTATTTTCAGTCTACTATGTAAATACTTACCGCTGTCGATATCGAACGCTTTGCACAATTACTACTATTTAATTAATATTAACTAGGACCTTGATTTTCCTTGTACATTTTGATTTTGATAGGAAATTGTTTAAAATGTCAACTACTCTGCACTTTCCCCGATATCTCCTATAAAATGCTTTTTACTACATTATGCAAGTACTCTATACTGCAAACAAGTACTCTTAGCTGAGATATAAAAGGAGATATAGTGAAACAAAACAAAGAAGCAAACATACTAAATGGAGAAATTTCGCTTATATTATAATAAAAATAGCCTGTATAAGCACTTGCCCCGTTTACGAATTTACTCGACTTCTCATCATTTATAATTTCGTAAAATTAAATGCAGGTTGCTATACTGTATTTTTAAAATTATTTAATTCTACCCAATCAGTTGCATGCAACTACCATTAAAATTTATAAAGTTGTATCATCGTCAATCTACGAAACATGATACATCTCACGTTCAATTAAAAAGCACTTTGTAATTATTTAGCTACCTTAAACGATTGACTTCAAACAACTAGCTGTAATTAACTCTCGACAGACATTTTCATTACCAGTTGCTATTTATCTAGTCAAATCTTGATAGATTTTCTCATAATTAAGGAATCATTAACACATTGACTTGATATAGTGTATCGTATTTGTAATTGACCCCCAAAGACACGTTTGACCCCCTTATCGAATTAATTTGGAGTAAAGACACATTTGACGCCTTTATCCGGCTATACCCTTTCTAACAGGATTATACGAGCCAACCACCCTACCCTTTATCTAAATTTACAATATTACAATACAATTTGTTTTATGTTTAGGAACTGAAGCCGAGCGTTTGACACTGTACAGAGCAGTTCGCAGTACGGAAGTGGCCAAAAGATTTTACTCTTTGCCTTCGCCAGGAAAAGAGGACGTGGAATTCGATCTCGTAGACCTGGAACGAGTGAATATCGGTCATCCATTTGCAGTAACCGTGAACATAAAGAACAAATCCAATGAACCAAGAACCATTCAAGCTGTTCTGTCTGCCGGTAGTGTTTACTATAACGGGGTCAAGGCGAACCTGGTCAAGAGAGCATCCGGTAACTTCGTACTTCAACCAAATGCCAGTAAGTCTACTAAACTTCATTTTCAATAAACTCAATGAATGATGTGATTTATGGCAATAATTCTTGTGACGTTCACGCGATCGGTGCAGTATGAAATGTAAGGTTTATGGTGGAATGTTTGAAATTGTATAATAAAAAAGTTAAGGTATGTTACTTATGTCGGGTACTTCATTTGAACATTTTGAGTATTTTCACTGCAGTTATTTTTAAGATGAGACCTTCACGATGATCGATTGATGAAGGTTGGATTATAGTTTTTATAGGTGGGTTTAAGTATGAGGGTAGCATAAATGATTTATTCGTTTTGAAAAGGCTATATCTTCAAAAATATTACACGTACACCCATGAAGGATATATGAAAAGAAGTACAAACTCAACAAGTTTATACACCCTCCACAAATGTTCAATATATGATCCTTCGGTGACACAACACACGTCCAGACGATAATCGAGCTCATTGTATAATATTGCAGCATAGTCTTGTTAATTTATTTTATAATCTTCATTTTATGATCCATGATAAACTACAAACTAGCACAACTTCAAAAATTACATCAGTCTTAGTTCTTATAAGGATTGGTCTTCATTTTCATACAGGATCATAAAAGCGCAGACATCATAAACACAAGTTTAGATTAAAAACTAGTCGCGACCCTGTCCCTAGGATCTCCTGAAGGATCATTTTAATAATAAACAGTCATTCATGCTTGATCTTTATTTTGCCGTACCTTAAATTATAATTGAAATCGAACCTGCATTTATTTACGTACATAAATAAATCTCACTTGCTTCTTCTTCAACACCCATCATTTATTTATTTTAGCTGAACAGCTGAAGCTCACGATCACAGTGGCCGATTATTTGGATAAACTAGTAGAATATTGTATTATGAAACTATACTGCATTGCCACGGTCAAAGAAACTAGGCAAACATGGGCCGATGAGGATGACTTCCAGGTGCTGAAGCCAAACATTGCAATTAAGGTAAAAATTGAAATTAATAACGTTACTATATTAGTTTCAATAACAGTAATTATTGTTCTATAACAATACTAATTTACATTAGTTTCAGCAATAGTACTAGCTATGTATAAAATATATTTTTATACACAAAAGTTAAAAAATATAAAACAATACTTTTTTACATTCTACTTCATTTTTGCGGAAGTTAAAGTAAGGACTTTTTAAGTTCATAACATCCACTCGTCAAACTATTAAACTGTGTTTTGTGTCGTAAACAGAATTTGTCATAAATATTTTACAGATCCTATTTTCCGAAAATGAAATGATATATGACATAAATTTATTCTATGTTATTTATGTATTTTTTTAAATAGAATCGTTTTCTTCTTGGTTGTACCATTAATTCTTTTTTATTCTAATGGTTATACCATTACTTTTGAAACACCTTGTATTCAATATGTTATTTACAAAATGGTACTGATTTAATGCATCGCTGTTTGAACAAATTTTTAGATCGACGGTGAACCAGTGGTAGGAAGTCCATCAACGATTTCGCTTCGCTTCAAAAATCCGTTGAAGAGAATGCTAACAGAGTGCAAATTCAATTATGCTGGACCAGGACTCTCGAGGAACAAAACGTTGATGTTCAGAGACGTCGAACCAGAAGAGGATGTGTACGTGGAATACCAGTTGGTTCCTCAGAAACCTGGACGACAGAAGATTATTGCTACTTTTACTTCGAAAGAACTCCTTGACATCACAGGCTCCGCTGCCATTGATGTCCTCGACGAGAACGAGTGAAGTCCTTAAATCTCACAATTTCTCTATCAACCGAAATCCTTCTCACATAATTTTTAAATCGTAACTCAAAGAAAAATTGTATCGATAAATTACATATTAGACATACTTAAAATAAAATTTGTGCAATAAAATTTGTATTTGATTTAGTTGTAGTATACTTTAAATATCACGAATGTTTTAAATGATGAGTCGCCATTTCCTATTTTTACGTGAAAAAGTTATATACAAAAATGGACGAAAAATAAAAAAATTAGCAATGCTCAAGTATTGCAAACAATCGAACAGACTTTTGATCTTTGCCGACTGCCACGATCGTAACGTCTCTTTCATTTTGACTCGCTATCCTCTTCGACGCGACGTGAGAAACTTTTATCGTCAATTAAACCAGTAAATATAGTCTAAATTATATCGTGTTTGGTCTCATTTTAATCGGAAAAATGTCAAGAATTAATTGGTAAAAGTTTGATAACGAAAAAATTAAAAATAAAAAAGTTTTATATTTGCATTGGTATTGTCTCACGGATACATTAAGTCCCGGGTCACGTAACATTTCCCGGCGAGCGAACCTCTGGCGTCTCGAGGGGTATTCCCCCTAGTGGTGGGGATAACATTTTCGCTTATATCGGAAAGAACATTTTTGCTTATATATTAGGTCGAGTCATAAGTAACTTCCGTTTTTTTATCAGACATTTATTTCGTTCTCATTAAACAACAAAATTATATTATTTTATTATATATTCACCACTATTTTCTATAACCTTCTCCCATTTTCCTGGTAGTTTATCAATTCCTTCCTTGTAAAATGTGGTTGGTTTGGACTGGAAGAAGCTTTCAACAGCCTTGCCTGACTTGCTCTTCAGAATTGAAGGTTTTTCCATTTAAAAAGTTTTGTAAGGAACAGAAAAGGTGGTAGTCTGTCGGGGCAAGATCTGAGGAGTAAGGTGGATGTAGTAAAACAGATCATCCAAGCTCAAGAATTTTTTCTTGAGTCACCCTTGCTGTATGCGGTCGCGCGTCGTCGTGTAAAAGAATGACATTTCTGCGATTGACGAGTGCAGGGCACTTTTCTAGGAGTTTCTCTTGCACTTTTTGCAATTGCTGAATGTATTATATTTATCCGCAGTAATCGTTAAATTTGACTTCAACAACTCGTGGTGACTTTATAATCTCACCATACACACAATAAAATCTATTTAGCTGCATCGGAAGTTACTTATGACTCGACCTAATAGAATGAACACTGTACTCAGCTTACACGTTGCAGCGGACTGCAATTTACATCAAATTTACACTACCAGACCACTAATATTGATTTCATCATAAACGTCCTATTAATACAACTTAATTAATATTTAATAAGTTTGTTATATACCACCGAAATTTATTGATTGATTTTAATGCATTCCGCATAAATTTAAATATTTTATAAGTAAAAGTTACTAAAATATTAGATCTTTGAAAAAGTTACATATGCGAGAATATTTTTTTAATTGAAGATTTCACGTTTTTTTTTTAAATATTATAAAAAATGCTTTTTATATCGTAATCGACATATTGTAGGTGTAGCGGCTGGCTTCGTGATTTCTTAAGCGATCATGGTAAGTGCAAAAGGCCAGCACGGTTTACGACGTATACGGTCAAAACGGCTATTTTTGAGGATACCGTTAGATTTTCTCGAGGCATGTTTTGTAGTTTTTCGTCAACGGTCTCAATAGCTACGTACGGCATCATAAACCGGGGATTTCCGAAGGGACCACGGTTCCGGGCTTGGCGGTCCCTGACCGTGCAGGGGAGCGGTAAGTGGTCACCGGGAAATCCCGCTGCATTGCCAAATTTGTCGTTTGAAGACACCCCCACCAAGGGATGTAAGAGGTGTCGAGAAAACGCATCAAGGGTGCAGAGAGCAGTTCTTAACAACCCTTCGCGCTTAGCACCTCATCCTTTGAAATAAAGATTCGCTCCGACTTGATAAAAAACTTAGACATTTTTGTATTCACCCACCAACTCCTAAAGTAGGTTAATAGAGTTATTGTATTAATTTTCCATAATAAATTTCTGTTAATGAAATTGTTTGGAAGATTAGTGTCTTAAACGAGTTCGCGTTCATGTGAGTAAATCTACACATACTAGTGTGGTGGCCATATTTGAAGACATAAAGTCAATTTTATTTAGAAGAAACGTGCTTATTACTTGGTTGTATATGAAAAAAATGCAAGGAAAACAAATTGTAATTATTCCTTTGTATATATGTACACGAAATTGCTTCAACCTTAATAAATAAAATAAATTATATAATTCTTCTCAGTTTTAAATTATTTGTTTATTTACAGAACAACAGTTCTTTTAATTAATAGTATATTGACACTTTTGTTTAAATAAAAATTTAGTATAGGACTATCTATCAATACTAATAAGATCCATTTATTTAATAATAATTAAGTGAAGTCAAAAATGTTTATTAAGAGAAGAATTGCAATAGTAAATGAAACTGCAAATCAATTTTATTTTTGGTATAATTAATAATAAGAAACTACTTGAAATTATTAACATCATCTGTCAAAAAAGAAATTGTAATAAGAATTAAAATTGAAAATGTATCTTATAATATTAACTATAATAAAAGAACACTGATATTTTCAATACAGCTAATCTAAAATAAACTTTAAAAAAATTCTACAAACAAATACTATCTACATAAGCATATAACAACAAATTATGTATTAACAATAATTTATTTAACAAAAAAACGCAAACTAGAAAATACAAATAATAAAACAACACTGATACAAACAAATAACGTACACAAAAGCAACAATCACAAAACAACGTCACAAGTTATTGTGAAATGTAGACACCAAAAAACAATGGAACAAACAATTCCATAAACTAAAGGTAACAAATTTTCTCTGGAAAATATAGAAAATCGTGAAGTTTCGTTATCTTGAAACCTATTCTGAAATCTGCATGAATTGCTTGAAATTGTATGAACGCTATCAGTCTTTCCCATCGAATCGTCCGTTTTTTGTACTAAGAAGTCCATCAAATGTCCCACGTCTTTTAAAAGAACTGTATCTGACAATTTTCCGGAAATTTTTAGTTCCACTTTTCCGCAAGTGCTTTCGTAAGACCACATCGTTGACGATGATTTAGTGCTCTCATAATCTTCCTCTTCATTTTCGCAAACATCCGAAGACTCATCATCCTCTTGCCTCAACGCTTCAAATATCTGAACGACGCCATTTTGGTCACTTCCATTCTTTCTCGCGAAAATGGAATCGACGCTGCTGCTTTTAGACACGCAACTCGGTTTCTCCTTACAAATTTTATTCACACGCTTCGATCGTTTTTCAGCCTTCAGATCGTTCCTCAACTTCCGTTTGTAGATGTCGACAGCTTTGTAAATATTGCGAATTCTGATAGCGGTCACATGAAAAGCCGCCATCGTTTCGCTTGAAATCACTTTAGTCGCTGATGTATGTGCATGTTTCATTACTGTTTCACGTTCAGGAGAAGAAGCGGAAGTGGACGTTGACGCATTCGATTCGACGAAGCTTAACTCGTTCAACGCATCATTTTTTTCGCAGTTAGACTCTTGAATCTGATTCAACAGTTGACGGAAGAAATTGTCACATTTTTTCGAGGAATTTTCGCTGTCGTCAAATGTTGTTTCGATGGATTTCGATGATTTGTACGATTCTTTTCGCAAATTCTTTTTGCGGAAATTTTTACGATCGACCTGGTCAGCCATGGATGTAGAAAGAGAGGAGACTATTATGGTTTCCATGGAATTATTATTGATCGGATGTGCCACCGTCATGGAAGAAACGTTTATGCCTTTGCTGCTTGTATTTCTCATGCAATATATTTCCGTCTGTGTTTCTGTAACTCGTAGCTCTTTCGACGAAGTGTTGTTTTGCAGAACAATCTCCAAAGTTTTTGAATCTTTAATTTGAAAATTGGTTTGCGAATAAACGTCCTTGTTACTTTTTTCGGTGCATGATGCAGCGTCTCTCATTTCCGGTTGCGGAGAACCTATTAAATTTCTTTCGTGATTTACGATTTCGCCTTCTGCTGGTGGGTTCATTTTGTTGCAATCGATTGAATATTCTTTGTTAATCAAGCTTTTATTACAACAATTATCTTCCTTGTAATTTTCTACGTTACTAGAATTTTTGACCAAATTTCCTTTGTGACTTTTTACATATTTCAAGGTATTTTCACGATTAATATCGATTTCCCTTTGTTTTTTTGTGTATTTTAAGCTATCCTCACAGTCGCTATTGTGTTTATGATATTCTGATTTGTTTAAGGCATTGTCACACTTAACGTTGTTTTCTTCGTGATTTTCTGCATACTCCAGACTATTATCATAATTAATATTATCTACTTTGTTATTTTCTACAAACCTTAAATCTCTGTCACAATTTATATTACTTTCTTTACAATCTTTTGCATATTTTAGGCTACTATCGCAATTAATATTGCCCTCATTGTAACTTTCTCCAAAATCTGAGCTACCATCAGAATTAATATTATTTTCTTTTTGATTTCCTACATACTTTACGCTATTATCACTATCACAATTAACATTATTTTCTTTGCGATTTTCTACATACTCTACGTTACTATCATAATTAGTATTGCTACCTTTGTAATTTTTTGCATAATTTAAGTTACAATCACAATTAATACCGTTTCCTTTACGATTTCCTACATGGTTTAAGCTACTATCATAAATAATATTACTTTCTTTGTGATATTCTGTGTGTCTTAAATTCTGCTCACCAGCAATATCTATTTCTCTATGATTTTCTGGATACTTTGAGCTATCACAATTATTATTGTTATTGCTACAATTTTCTGTATGTTGTAAACGTTCTTCAAAATAATTATCTTTTTCTATATGGCTTACCCTACTATCATAATTAATACTGCTTTCTGTTTGTCTTTTTGTGGGTTTTACATTTCTCTGACAATTAATACAATTTTCCTTATAATTTTCTATATTCTTTAACCTACTCTCACAATTATTTTTACTTTCTTTTTGATTTTTCGTCCGTTGTAAGTCCCTCTCATAATGTATACCTTCTCCATGATTTTCTATATGCGTTGTGCTATTTCCATAATTATTGCTATTTTCTTTATGATTTTCCACTTGCTTTGTATTATTCCCACAAGTACTATTTTCTCTATAATTCTCTGTGTGCTTGAAGCCATGTTTGCAATGACTATCTAAATTTTTTCCCGGGGTAATATCGATTTTCACATGTTTTCTAGGAAATCTTAAGCTGTCATAATTACTATTATATTCTTTCTGAAAAAGTGCTACATTTTTTAAGCCAGCTTCACAATCAATAACATTATTTTCGTAAACTTCAGCAGATTTTGAATTCTTCTTAACATCGTTTTCTTCATATGTTCCTATGTATCTCAAGCTTTTCTCACAGTTAATATCATCATCATAAATTCGTGTACCTCTAGAATTTTTCTCGAGAAAATTTATATGATTTTCTTTATTAACTTCAGAATCATCCCTTTCGCAATTAATAACATTTTCTACGTGTTTTAATCTTCCTTCACAACCAATAACGATTTCTTCATGACGTTCAATATATTTTAAGTTATTTTCATAATCCATAATCTCACCCCTTTTAATTTCCTCGAGCGTTGAATAACTTTCACAATCATTTCCTTTATAATTTTTTGTAAGTTTCAAATTCCTCTCATGATTAACAACATTTTCTGCGCATTCTAAGTTTGCTTCACTATCAACAACGTTTGTGATGCAAGATTTTTTATGCTTCAAGCTCTGTTCACAATCAATGCCATCTTGCTTTAAACTTTTCTCACAGATATCATTTTCTTTATGACGATCTGTATACTTTAAGCTTTTCTTACAATCAATATCATTTTCCTTATGACATTCTATATACTTTAAGTTTTTCTTACACTCAATATTTTCTTTCTGACGTTCTGTATACTTTAAACTTTTCTCACAACTGATATCATTTTCTTCGTGACACTCTGCGTACATTAAACACTTCTCACAATCAGTATCAGTTTTTTTGTGACATTCTGTACATTTTATGCTTTTCTCACAACTAATATCATTTTCCTTATGATATTCCATATGCTTTAAGCTTTCCACACATTTAATACCATTTTCATGACATTCTACGTACTTTAAATTTTTCTCAGAATCTATAGCATTTTCCATGTGTTTCAAGTCTGTTTCACAGTTACCATTTTCTGCATACTTCAAACTCTTCTCACTATCAATACCATCACTTTTATGATCTATCTTCCCTAAATTATTCCCATGATTAATATCATTTTCCTCCTTCCCCTCCAACATATCCCACAAATGTTCGTTCTTGAAAACCTTCTGCAATTTTTGATCATCTCGAACGCTGAAAAACATATCCGCAAAACTAATGGACTTCTTCTTCGAGTATCTACCTGTTCTCTGTTTGTCCTTCAACTCTCGTTCAGCTCTGTTCACCAGATCAGCATCGATTCCCTGCTCGCAGAGGAACTCTTTCAATCTACTCAACGACAACGCGTGCGAATTAGTTCTACCCTTCTTTAGCGTTTCTTCGTCAAGCTCTCTCTTTTCATTTTTCTGTTCTGTCTTTTGGGTACTCGGCGAAGAAACAGAGTTGAACAACGTTTGACGATTTGAAACGTCGAAGCCGGTACACTCATACTTCGACCTAACACGCGTCACATGGTTTGTGTTAACAGAATAATCGGAAGATGCCTTTGATCGATGTTTGTCGATACCTATTTCTCCATGGATGGTATTTTTGCGCTTTTTCGATAAATCTAGAGCTTCTGGAATCGTTTCTGTCACTTGACGGTTTTCATGAAGCGTATCATTGAACTTGGGAAGATTTTCAACTAATCGACTCGAATCATCTCTCGTTGGTTCTTCCTTGCTATTACAAGTTTCTTCTTTCGTTAAAATTGCTTCTGACCGTGGATCAAATGTAGCTTGATTGATTTTATCATAAAACTGACGACTTGTTATATTTTTAACTTCCTTGCCATTTGTCTCTTTCAAGGAAGAAAGAGTTTTTGATTCTTTCGAACGTTTCTGCACATCATCGTGTGTTCTGTTTTCGCTGAATTTTGAATTGGGATGTTTTATAACTTGACGGACAGGTTCATTTCTCGGTGTTGCTCTTATTGTTCCTGGTCTTGGTTTCATTCTGGGACTGGTCTTCATACTCGTGTTGCTTCTTTTACCAACAATTTTGGAATTATGGCTGTTAGTTGTTAATGTAGTTCTCATGGATGACAATATATTTTTTAAGGATGAAAAGTCGTCGGAGATTTTCTTCTTGGAGGCACTCACCGCTTTGACTGGTTTCTCCGCCCTGAAAATATGAAATAGTTTAGATGAAGTCATTTTTAGAATGATTCGTGATAAGTATACAGGGTGTCTCACAATTAGCGTAGGTCCCGGAAATGAGGGCTAGCTGACGCGATTCTGAATAAGATTTCCCTTTGCAAAAATAGGGTTTGAAGCTTCGTTTTTGAATTATTAAGCAAAAACACGGACCAATCAAAGCGCGAAGATTATTACGCGTTGGATTACTACGCGTTGGTTAACTACGCGTTAAATTACCACGCGTTAGAATCCTACGCTTAGAATCACCACGCGTTGCATTACTACGCGTTGGATTACTACGCGTTGAATATCCACGCGTTGGATTACTACGCGTTGGATATCCACAC